CACTATCTGTTGACATACATACAAATGCAGGCAGGAGCCGAGCTGCTTCTCAGTGACATGACGAAACTGTCAACTGGCCATCGGGCATGTGGTGAAGTCTGCTTTGACCACATTCTTCTCAATTGTCCCACTGACAAAAACAGTGATCAGAGGTGATTGCCTCAGGCACTGGGGAAACAAAATAACAAAAGTGAGGAGCATCAAGGGAATATTAATAGCGACTGCGAAAGAGGAGTGTCGACTGGCGGTAGATACATAAATGGCTTCACTGAAAAGAGAAAGCATTCAAAAGCAGGTGAAACTACTGTGTCAGGTGACAAAACAGTGAGGTTACATATCTTGCATGTAAATATACATGTACAGCACTTCCTCAACATCTGGTGACCGACGTGCACTAGCAGTGGTCACCTTCTCTTTGCATTTCTCCTTTTTCTAGCTTTTCAAGTTGGCTCTGTGGCTTTCTCTCTTTGTTGGCTCTTCCCTGTTTTATACCTCCACTATGATGTAACACTCTCTAACAAACATATTTTCTTGACCGAGCCACACTCTACACAGAGGCTCCATTCATACGAGCTTGTTTTCCGTGCTGTAAATCTTTTTATACAACAGCACAAATAGCTCACGTTTTTCCCACATTTGCCACAGTCGGTAAGTTCTTTATTTATGCAAGATGAATATAAACTTTAAGGGCACACAGTAGACTGTAGAGGCTCTTTCTCTTGTCTCTTCTACTCTATCTGCTGTGCGCACACGCACACACAGATTCCTTTCCCGTTCACACTTTCACAGAGAAGCAGCAACTGGTCAACAGGATATGAAACCTACCTTTCTGCTTGTCTTCTATATGATCAAACATATGGCCTTTTCTGCACTAAAGCTCACCCTCTGACCCCGGCATGCCTTTCTGTGCTGTTTGTGGTTTATCCGAATTAGTTTGGATGACTTTTTTTTATTTATTCATTACACACTCTTCGCTTGGCCAAACTGCATTTCACTTAGTACATATGGGTCTAGTTGACTTTCCATTTCTGCACTGTAATGCTGCGGACGTCCAGATAATCAGTGTTCAGCTCATTTGCTTTATGGGTTATGGCCGAGTCATTCCCATGTACTTGGTGAAGGGTGAACGTTCAGAGATGGAGACCGCTCTGCTGAGCCTCACCTCTCACCCCCTCCTTCCTGACCGGTGTTAGTGGAAGGGAAGATGACCATCTGCTGCCCCAGTTGCCCAGTGACTGGACAACAGCCTTCTCTTATGGCACAATTCCACTGTATATTGTCTGTTTGATACTGCGTGTGTGCACATGTGAGCTAGTGCACTGCATTTAAGCTGTGGGTAAGGTGTTGTGTACTTGCCTTTGATGTGTGGGTGTTGAAAATTGTCTTCATATGTCTCTGTGTGCACTTAGTTGCCTCTACACAGTGCATGTGTCTTTGTGCGTATGTGTTGACCCCGAGGAGAGCCAAGTATTGTGTGAAGCTTTCCTGTGGGAGTCTGAAGAGAATGCACCCTCAGCCAGCAGGATGGCTCTCGGTGCCGTGCACACTGACTTGGCCTAACAGGCAGGTTAGTGGAGGGTCAGACACTTATGGACCCTACAAGCCATAACTTTGCTCTGGTGCTTCAAGAGAATAGGTTTCCTCTCCAGACGTGTGCAGTATCACACACACGCAGACACCAACAACGACATGCACACATCCATGCAAGCTATTGTTTCAGATTGAACAGGCTCAGCATCATAGTCATCATGAAAAAGTTGGGAAATCTGATGTATGGAAGGTGACAATGAAACTTTTTATTAAACACAAGCTATTATAAAATGTTCAATTCTTGCTGTAAAACAAATAACTGTGTTTTGGTGGAAGCACAGCAGAAATTTATTCACAGGAAATGAATTTGCCTCTCTGCAAAAGCAGGAAAGTTCTGTTTGTTCAAACTGATTATCTGTACGGACTGATCAGCGACCGGTAGGTGACCATCTTTACCCACAAGCCCATTCTGGCTGTGCAGTAATAACACAGCATTTGGAGTCTCAGCATGACATACTGAAAATCTGCTGTGGCTAACCACGTTTTGTTCTCAACAAGAGAAATATAAAGTACTGTATGTGATAATGAAACCCTTTTGATTGTGCTCAGTGTTTTGGAGAGCGGTTGACAGGTTTTGTTTTTTTTTTTACTTTTCTGATAACATCTCTCCTGCTGTCCTCAGTTTGTGTGATTTGAAACGGAATTAGTGTTGTTTGATGTTTTTCTCACCCTCTGCTTTCATTTCTGTCTTGTCTCTTAACCTGTGTACTTCCTGTTGCACACACTCTCTGTCACTCACACATACAGGAGATGTAGTGAGCTCAGTTACTCTTTATCCCCTCATCCGTTGCTGTCAGTTAGCCATTGGATCTCACCTTGGCAGGGGGACAGCAGCAATCTGAGATGCTGGACTTTTCCTAGACATTGGGGCAAACAAGCCAGGAGTGATGTATTTTGTGCAGTTTCAATGGAGCTTAAAGCTCAGACCACATAGACACATTATTTATTTTCTCAGCTGCTCTTTGAGAAAGGTCATTACAGTGGGCTCACTTCATCTGCATATGCAGTTTCACACCGTTTTTATGCCAGATGACCTTTCTGATGGAACCCACCAGGACAATTTTGAGGCGGCTGTGTCGTGCACATAATCACTGCGCCACTTTGCCGCCCACTTATTTATGGGTGATAAAATTCACAAGCAGTTCTTTGAGTGACGCCTGCGTGGTTCAAAATATTGTTAGGCTCCACAACTGACATATATACGATGGACATGGCATCACCACTTCCCTCCACTATGCTACAGTTAATACAGCGGCTGCCATCTTGCTTGTTTGCAACCTGTTTCTGTGCAGTAGCGACCAGAAATGGAGTGACAGCATCGGTCCACCCATCAAAGCTGTCAAATCAACAGAAATATAGCCCTTTTAATATAATCAAATCACTTAATAAAACAAATTTACCAGAACAATGACTGCACACACATAAATGTGATGATATCTGAAAAATGACAAGTTACCTTTTATATTTGATTTGTGCTTTGAGTTTTTACTTTAGCTCACGTCCCGTCCGCTAACGTGGAGAAGCTGGGTTTATGACATATACTGCAACGAGCCACTAGGGGGCGATCACATCGTGGTGGCTTCACTTCTGGCAGTTTTTGGCCTGTCCATCGTTTATACAATCAGTGGGCTCTACTTGGACATTATATTACCGTTTAACCCTGAGTTTGTCCTGTATTGTGTTGTGATATATGCCAGACTGGTCAGGCAGAGGGAATAATGTTTGACAGATGCTCCCGAGGAAAGCAGGTAGACAGACTGGGGCCGAGCCATGCTGCTTTGATTTGTGGGTGTACTTTGTGTGTTTGTGTGGGGAAACCTGATAAAAATCTGATTTGGCAGAGCCATTATCCTCTTTGCACTTCAACAGTAGGCTTACACTGCATTGAGGCCACCACTAATCCCATAGTGTGCTGACTCTGCACTGAAGCCGCACAAATATGGTTTCCCTCTGTGAAAACTGTGACAGTGGGCCTGTTTCGGTTATTGCTCCCAGTGCATGTGTGTGCATTAGTTGTGTGCAGTGTGTGTGTGTGTGTGTGTGTGTGCCTTCTCAGGTGAGTGCACACAGATAGGTAATCTAGTGTGCAGAGTCATCGATTTTCCCACAGCACAGGAAGTGGCTAGTTATTGATTCTCTGGGACAATGATGTCACTCCAGACGGTGAGGGGTGTTTACTTATCCATGATAAAGTATGAGGTGCTTTCTCTCCACACACTGGTCAAATAATCCTCTGCCTCAGTCCTCTTACCTTTTCTCACTCTACTCCCATCACTCTTTCAACCCCCCTTGT